GAGTTAAGACTTTGGGACTTTGGGGATGCAATCAGTTGTATATTGTATGAGAAAAGAAGTGAATTTTGGGCAGCCAAGGGTGGAACATCATGCGTACAGCAAGATTTGTCTCCCCAAAACTAATGCAGCTTTTAAAACTATCCTCTGCTGCTTTCCCAGTTGCGTTGGCAGGAAGCTGACTTGGGCATGGGATGGCCGAGGCTTGAACAGGTGCTTTTACGGGATACCAACATGGGCAGGTGGTGGCCCAGCATGCCCCACGCCACAATACTGTCCTTGCTTAAACTGTTCGTGATTTATTTGATTAAGGAGGGACACTTGTTCTAACGATGGCATGGGTGGTGCCCGTGGGAGGTCTTTGGTACACTGGGCGCATGCCTTCGGAGAGGGGTTCCTGGGAGGGGTTTGAGTGGCTTCCTTTCTTTCCTTTCTTTCTTTCCTTCCTTCCTTCTCTTCCCCTTCCTTCCTTCCTTCTTTCTTTTTTTTATTTATTATTATTTTTTTTTTGACAGGCAGAGTGGACAGTGAGAGAGAGAGAGAGAGAGAGAAAGGTCTTCCTTCGCCATTGGTTCACCCTCCAATGGCCGCCGCAGCCGGCACACTGCGGCCAGCGCACCGCACTGACTGATGGCAGGAGCCAGCTACTTATCCTGGGCTCCCATGGGGTGCAGGGCCCAAGCACTTGGGCCATCCTCCACTGCACTCCCAGGCCACAGCAGAGAGCTGGCCTGGAAGAGGGGCAACCGGGACAGAAACCGGCGCCCCGACCGGGACTAGAACCCGGTGTGCCGGTGCCACTAGGTGGAGGATTAGCCTAGTGAGCCGCGGCGCCGGCTTCCTTCCTTCCTTCCTTCCTTCCTTCCTTCCTTCCTTCCTTCCTTCCTTTCCTTCCTTCCTTCCTTCCTTCCTTCCTTCCTTCCTTCCTTCCTTCCTTCCTTCCTTCCTTCCTTCCTTCCTTCCTTTCTTTCTTTCTCTTTCTTTCTTTCTTTCTTTCTTTCTTTCTTTCTTTCTTTCTTTCTTTCTTTTTCTTTCTTTCTCTCTCTCTCTTTCTCTCTTTCTCTTTCTCTCTCTCTCTTTCTTTCTTTCTTTCTTTCTTTCTTTGATTTATTTATTTATTTGAAAGGCAGAGCTACAGAGAGGCAGAGGTAGAGAGAGAGAGGTCTTCCATCCACTGGTTCACTCCCCAGATGGCCGCAATGGCTGGAGCTGGGCCAATCTGAAGCCAGAAGCCAGGAGCTTCTTCTGGGTCTCCCATGTGGGTGCGGGGGCCCTAGCATTTGGGCCATCTTCTGTTGCTTTCCCAGGCCATAGCAGAGAGCTGGATTGGAAGTGGAGCAGCCGGGTCTTGAACCAGAGCCCATATGGGATGCCGGCACAGCAGGTGGTGGCCTTACCTAGCTATGCCACAGCACTGGCCCCTTGAGTGTTTTTCATTGGGAGTTTGGCCCAGCTTCTCCCTCCCCTCCCTGGCTCACTCAGCACAGCTGGCCATCATCAGACGCTGGACTACAGGGCTGCCCAATCCTGTAACCTCAAACTGTAAGCTGAAATAAACCTTTTCTTTCCCAAAGAAACTTCTCTCGGGTGTTTTAGGTAAAGGAACGAAAAGTGGACTAGTACAGAAAATTGGCACCAAGGAGTGGGGTTGCTGCTATGAAGTAGAGGAGCTTCTGGTGCCGGTTTGCCCGGAAAGTCTGGAGCAGCTGGAGGACAGAGAAAGCCCAGGCTGTTGTAGGCTGAGTGTTTTGGACAGTTTTGCTGGGGGCTGAAGACCAGAATGCTGGTAGAGGTGTGGGCAGCATAGGCCATGCAGGGGAAGCTTCAGATAGAAACCAGCGTCACCTTGGGGAAGGGTTAGAGACCTCCCATGTCACATGCTAGCGTGGAACCTGGCCATCCCGGGTCCCCGTCCCGAGGGTCTATGGGACACTGAACTCCAACATGGTGGACTGTGTTGTCTGGTGCAGCCAAGTGTTCCGGCAATAGCCGTGTGTTTATGGTTGTACTCAGTGTGTTCTATAGTGTGACTCCAGGGTGGAGGGGACAGAACAGAAAGTTCTGGAAAATTGGCCGCTTAGTCAGAAGGAATGAAAAGGTGGCTTGGGGTTTGGGACAGGAAACGGCCATTGAGAAGCCACTGGCAACAAAAGTCCAGGCAAGAGGCAGTCCTGTGTTAATGAGGAAGACCCTGAAGGCTTCTCAGAGATCTCCCAGGCTGGCTGGCCGCTCCTGCTGTCACAGGCTCATCGGAGGCTTAGAAATGGAAAGTTATTTCCAAGGTCTTCCAGGGCAGAAGGAACGCTAAACATCCTTGGTGTGTTCACTGGACGCTTACAGAATTTCTGCAAGAGGTAGGGGATCGTGGCAGCTTCTAAAGAAGCTGGCCACATAACCCAGGCTCCCACGAATCTGAGGCCAGATAAGCTTCTGGAGACATCTGTGGTAGACGCTCTTGTTTTCCTGTACGCAAAGCATTTCAGGTGTGGGACAACAAACCATGGTGAGCAGGGTAGCAGGTTTAAGGAGGGAGGGCACCATCAGAATGGATGGGCACCTCTCCAAATGTTCCAGAGAGAGTGCCAGTCATTCAGACTGGGGTAAGCAAGGTTACAACGTTCAATGGAGAGAGTGCACCTGCCAGGCCCACTGAGAGCTGACAGCACCGGCTGCCTGCAGCCTGGGGCTTACAAGGGAAGAGGGTTCGGGTCTTCCCTCTCTTTCTCCCCCTTCCCTGCCTCTTCTCCTGGTCAAAGGCTTTGCCGGCTGTGAACTAGGTAAGATTTCTCCCAAGGTTTTATTACCCAGTGTTATCAGACTGGGTAGCCCTGTTGGGCTAGACAGAGAGGATTCTCCTGGGGTACTTTCCTTGAGGGGAAGGCTATAAAGTCACTGGGGTATGGGCAGGACTTTATAGTGTCAAATTCTGAGCTTCATATGTTTCTTAACCATGAATCATGAAGTCAATTTTATCTTAAAGAAAAACAGGAACCCTTGAGACCTCTATAAAAACAAACTCTTTTTTTCCTTACTGACTACTAAAAGTAAAGAATGTAGGGGCAGCATCCCATATGGCGCCGGTTCGAGTCCCGGCTGCTCCACTTCTGATCCAGCTCCCTGCTAAGGCCTGAGATACCACTAGAAGATGGCCCAAGTGCTTGGGCCCCTGCACCCATGTGGGAGACCTGGAAGAAGCTCCTGGATCCTGGCTTCGGATCAGTACAGCTCTGGCCACTGTGGCTCTCTAGGGAGTGAACCAGTGGGTGGAAGACTCTGCCTCTGCCTCTCCCTCTCTGTAACTCTGCCTTTCAAATAAATAAATAATTCCTGAAAAAAAAAAGTTTAAGGACATCTCCCTCAATTTAAAGAAATTATCTGTTAAAGAAAAATTATTTTTATTAGGTTCTATAATTAATATAGGAATTACCTTTTTTGTGCACTGTGAGTGGCAAAACCACACTCCAAGTTTGAAATATGTCCGTGCTCTGTGGCTCTACTTGTAAATATGCTTGGTGTATTATTGTCTTGAATAAATATTCAGTATCACAAAAAAGATTCTGGGGTGGGCACTGTGGCGTAGTGGGTAAAGCCGCCACCTGCAGTGCCAGCATCCCATATGGGCATATGGGCGCCGGTTCGAGTCCTGGCTGCTCCACTTCTGATCCAGCTCTCTGCTACGGCCTGGGAAAGCAGGTTCTGGGCTGCTTCCAAGGCTGCTAGGGGTTGCTGTTTTCCATAGGCCTCTTTCACACACACGGGCTAATTTCTGTCTTCCTACCAAACTTTAGCATTTGAGTGTTTAATTATAAAGAGAAGGCTAAAGAGGAAGAGGGGTTCCAACACAGGAAGCTACAGTCCAGACAACAGGCTCCTAGGAGAGCAGTCCAGCTACCAGTGTCCTGTGACCTCAGGACTAACCCAGGGCTTTGGGTGTGGGAAGCTGGGTCATTGACACAAGGGATTTGACCCACCGTTAGGGGCATCGGAGCTGGGGTTGCCCTCAGCTCCAAAGGGAGAGGACCCACAGGGCCCCGGAACTTGGGTGGCTCCCAGCACCCATAGAATCATCACGCCCCTGGGTGACCCTGGATGTCACAGGTAGGAACATTAATTTTTCTGATTCATGTGGGAGTTCTGGAAGTGGCTGTTGGAACACCTGGAAGGCAATAGCTCTGTCCTCGGAGGGAATGCACTGGGCAGGTGCAGCAGCCAACAAGGCTGCCCCTCGGGAGGTTCCGGGACCGGCTCCAAGACCCCAGACCCTCAAAGCAAGCTATTTATTGCCTGTTTGCTTCTTTAGGATGAGGTTGGCACCCACGGCTACCTCACAGCCTCACCCATTTTGGGATATTTTATGGGAGGCCCTTTCTCACTTCTGGCATCCTTTTTTTATTTTTATTTATTTTTATTTTTATTTTTTGACAGGCAGAGTGGACAGTGAGAGAGAGAGACAGAGAGGAAGGTCTTCCTTTTGCTGTTGGTTCACCCTCCAATGACCGCCACGGCCGGCACGCTGCGGCCAGCACATCGCGCTGATCCGAAGCCAGGAGCCAGGTGCTTATCCTGGTCTCCCATGGGGTGCAGGGCCCAAGCACTTGGGCCATCCTCCACTGCACTCCCTCGCCACAGCAGAGAGCTGGCCTGGAAGAGGGGCAACCGGGACAGAATCCGGCGCCCTGACCGAGACTAGAACCTGGTGTGCTGGTGCCGCAAGGTGGAGGATTAGCCTATTGAGCCGCGGCACCGGCCCCTGGCATCCTCTTAATTCAGGTCAGGAGCAGAAGACTGACCACATATGGCAACAAGATTCTCCTGGTGCCAGGTTCCAAAAATCACAAACAACTGATCTCCCTAGGAGACCTAGTTCTCTTCAGAACCTGGAGGGGGGACTGTCCTAAATGGCCCGGACGCCCTCGGGTGCTATTTAGCACCCCAGCTGCGGTTAGATTACAGGGATTTCCAGCTTGGTACATCTGTCAAGAATTAAACCTCTTCCCTTCCAGTCTTCACAGGCACGCCCGCCCGGAGGAAAATCCTGCCAAGTCTGTGAGCCCAATGAGGACCTCATGTTTATCTTCAAAGGCTAAAAGATAAGTAGATATTGCATTTTGCCACACACTCCTCCCTAGGGAGGGGCATTAAGGCTGAGGCTCTTTCCAGCTGACACCTTTTCCTACTCGTTGTCCTGAGAAGCTACTATTGGCGGGAACAGCCCCCTGTAAACTTTTCCACCATAATGAGAGAAACTCTTACTACATACCATGAAGTTGTTTTAAGAAACCTGTCTGTTGGCGTGGGGGACTTGGCCCAGGAAGCACACAAACTACTCCTGTCTTTAGATTCCCAAGCTAAAGTGTTCATGAGCCACCTACAAGCCCTAGATCACCTGCTGACAGGACAAGATGGAAATGTGGAGTGAGCGATAAAGCTTGCCAGGCTTATGTTCACAACAGTGGGCTGATAGACAAAGATAGCCAAAGGCTCTATGCTCAAGCCAAGTGGTCCCACGATTTTGGTAAGGGAAGTCCCCCCAGCTTCCACCATCTGGGAAAAAGTGCTCTCCTTCTCAGGCATGGCTCTTACTCTTGGTCCTTCTTTGCCTGATTGTCAAATCTGTCTCCTCTAGAATTTGGTTTCTTGCAGAAATGCTGATGAAGCAGGCATTCCACCCTTTGCCAATGAGTGGTGTGGAACCTCTAGCTCCATACATGGTCCCTCTAGATCAGAGAGCAAGGGATTTTTGTTCCCTTGCACGAACAACGCCCTGACACAGCAGAAAGGAGTTACAGAATAATGAACATCACTCCTCAACCTCCCCTAAAGAGTAAAGAACAAAAATCTAAGGGTGGAGACGACGTATGCGGGGAGGCAGTGAGGAGCCGAGGGCTGCCAGCGTCCGCAGGACAGCCCTGCAGGCACCGCCCCAAACCCCGCCCCCTTCCATGTAGCTGTTGGGCTGGTGCCCGCCAGAAATATCCAACGTGGCTGCAGGCTCTGCACACCGACGGCCTTCATGCAACTGAACGGTTAAAATTGCATTGTTGGCCGGCGCCGCGGCTCAATAGGCTAATCCTCCTCCTTGCGGCTCCGGCACACCGGGTTCTAGTCCCGGTCAGGGCACCAGATTCTGTCCCGGTTGCCTCTCTTCCAGGCCAGCTCTCTGCTGTGGCCCGGGAGTGCAGTGGAGGATGGCCCAAGTGCTTGGGCCCTGCACCCCATGGGAGACCAGGATAAGTACTTGGCTCCTGCCATCAGATCAGCGTGGTGCGCCGGCTGCAGCGCACCGGCCATGGCGGCCATTGGAGGGTGAGCCAATGGCAAAAGGAAGACCTTTCTCTCTGTCTCTCTCTCTCTCACTGTCCACTCTGTCAAAAAAAATAATAATAATAAAATTGCATTGTTTCCCTCCTGGGGGTTTCCTAATTTAGTGCCCTGTTCCTTTCCTGTTTTTTTTTTTTTTTTTTTTTTTTTTTTTTTTTTTTTTTTTTTTTTTTTTTTAACAGAGTGGATAGTGAGAGGGAGAGACAGAGAGAAAGGTCTTCCTTTGCCGTTGGTTCACCCTCCAATGGCCGCCACAGCTGGCGCGCTGTGGCCGGTGCACCGCACTGATCCGAAGGCAGGAGCCAGGTGCTTCTCCTGGTCTCCCATGGGGTGCAGGGCCCAAGCACTTGGGCCATCCTCCACTGCACTCCTGGGCCACAGCAGAGAGCTGGCCTGGAAGAGGGGCAACCGGGACAGAATCCGGCGCCCCGACCGAGACTAGGACCCGGTGTGCTGGCGCCGCTAGGTGGAAGATTAGCCTATTGAGCCGGGGCGCCGGCCTTCCCTGTTTTTTTTTTTTTTTTTTTTTTTTTTTAAATATTTATTTATTTATTTGAAAGTCAGAGTTACACAGAGAGAGAAAGGCAGAGAGAGAGGTCTTCCATCTGCTGGTTCACTCCCTAATTGGCCGCAACGGCCGGAGCTGAGCTGATCTGAAGCCAGGAGCCAGGAGCTTCTTCCGGGTCTCCCACGTGGGTGCAGGGGCCCAAGGACTTGGGCCATCTTCTACTGCATTCCCAGGTCATAGCAGAGAGCTGGATCGGAAGTGAAGCAGCCGGGTCTCAAACCGGTGCCCATGTGGGATGGCGGCGCTTCAGGCCAGGACGTCAACCCGCTGTGCCACAGTGCTGGCCCCTCCTTCCCTGTTTTAATAAACACCTCCAAAGTCAATTAGCAAGTATCAATCTCAAAAGAGTAAAAAGAAGCTGTTTAAAACCCAGCTGTGTGTGTGTGTGTGTGCACGTGCAAGGGCACAGACACATGCACACTTGGGGATATAAAAACAAGGTGGAGGGAAGTTTATTGTAAGTGGAATTTTAGGAACGCAGGCAGCAGGGCCTCCGTGGCATCCACAGGGGCATCCAAGCCCAGTGCTGCTCCGGGACACTCAGCCCTGGCAGCCACCACAGAAGGAGGAGAAGGCCGGTTCCTGTGCACATCCCCTCTGCGTGCCTGGGGCAGACGGGCAGTCAGAACACTGCGCACGGCTGAGGCTTGGCTTCGCTGTGTTTTTTTGTTTTTTGTTTTTTGTTTTGTTTTTTTTTTTCATTTTTAAAAAGAGTGTTTTATTTATTTGAGTGACAGAGAGAGAGGCAGAGACAGAGGTCTTCCATCTGCTGGTTCACTCCCCAAACGGCCACAATAGTCAGGGCTGGGCCAAGCCAAAGCCGGAATCCAGGAACCCGATGCAGGTTTCCCATGCTCCCATGCGGGTGGCAGCGACCCAAGTAGTTGGGCCATCCTCCACTGCCCCCCCCCCCCCCAGGGTCAGCAGGGATTCAAACCGGCCCTCTAATGTGGGATACGGGAATGGCAAGCTGCAGCCTAACCCACTATGCCACCTTGCTTCTAGTCTAAAGGGTCATGTACTCCTAGTTTTGCAAATAGATGTTTATCTCTTACACAAATAAAACTGAAGTTGTTGTCCTGATGTTCCTTAAAGCTGTATCCCCTACACCATCAGGGTCAGGGGCCGGGGCCAGAGCCCCTGCGAGCCCCCTGTGGTCATGGACACGGCCTCTCCACCCAGCTCTCGCACCCGCTCCTCAGCCACACTCTGCCTCTTTCCCCGCCGGCTCCTGCCACCCACCAGGCTGGCCTCCAGAGCAAAGGGCTTCTGGAGGCTCTGAGCTGGAGGCTCCTGACCGTTTTGATTGCTTGTGCCCAGTTCCCTCCAGCTCCGCGCCCGCAGAGCCCTCTGCTCTGCCTTCCCTTGTGCTAACTCTTGCTTTATCACACAGCTAACCCCGCTCATCACCCAGGAAGAGCTCCATGTCAACACCACTCTGCCTGGGGTCGGGCGCACCCATGGCTCAGCATGCTCTTTAGTACTGGTTCCATTACCTGCTTGCCTGACTCCTAGCCAAGGTGCCACAGACTGGGCCTGGTCTGCATCGCCATGTGCTAGCACCTGGCACAGTGTCTGTGGCTCAGTGAGGATTCACTGGGTGAATGCATTGATGAGCGGGTAGCAGGGAGGTGAGGAGGAGCCCAGACTGGCGGGGGTAGCTGTCGGGATCTCTCTCTCTCTCTCTCTCACACACACACACACACACAAAGGAGAAGATTCAAGCACCTGGGCCCTTGCCTAAGGCACCTCAAGGGACGGGCCTCAGGGACCGAAACACCTGCTCCTCTGCCCCTCCTGCCTGGAGCCCTCAGCGCCGAGCCTGTGCCTCCTGTCTGAGGGTGGAGTCCCATACAGCCAGCACCTGCAAGGGGACAGCTGAGGGCACCTTCCTCCCATCCTGTCTCCACAGGTAGGACCTTCCCTGGACTTGTGCCCATTCCCTCTCTCTGTTCATGCTGACCTGGTAGTTAGCCAAGACAGGGCCTGGAAGCCATCTGAATAGATGTGTGACAATGTCTTGAAACCCTGAACTGGTACATGCGGGTTATGTAAACCACTCCCCCCCAACACACACACACACACACACACACACACACACACACACATGTCGCTCCCCGTCTTCGTGGGGGAACGACACTAAACCCTGCCTAGGCTTCATATCCGAGTCACGGCACCATTATGTCGCTCCCCCTCTTCGTGGAGGAACGACACAGGACCCTGCGCTGTTCTTTTTGTCTGCTCGGCCCTCCCCGGGTTTGCTGCTGGTTCTTCCCGGGTTGGCTACTATCCCTTCCACCTCCGTGGAAGGGCAGTTCCCCCTGGCCGCATTCCCCACTTCCGCAGGGGAGCGGCACACCGCCGGCCGGCTCTCTCAGGGGCTGCACGGGTTCCCTCAGCTAGATGTTCCCCATAGATGTTCCTGGTGCATGCCGTCTCTCTCCTCCTTTATAGTCCTCCTCCGCCAATCCCAACTCGGCTGAGTACGCTGCTCTCCAATCAGGAGCAAGTCCTACAGTTAATTGGTTGAACTGGAGGCAGCTGTGCGGAAGCTGTTTACTTCTCTCCCAGCGCCATATTGTGGGAGAGCAGATGCATAGAATAAGTCTTAATTCCAGTAACAGTCTAGTCCGGGCTGCTCCCCACACACACACACACACAGCATCTTGTTTTATCACCAGTGAGATGATTTTTTTATTGTAAATAACAGAAAACCCAGGGGAAGAAGGGCTAGACAACACAAGAAACTCCCATCATTAACAGAATGTGATCTGCTTGTCTGGGTGCCAGGGCTGCAGGCATTGTTGGATCCAGATTCTGGCTCCACCTCTCTGCCCTCCTCTGCCCGAGTATTGGCCTCACGCTCAGACTTGCAGCCCTGCTGCTCACAGACGGCTTGTAGCTGTAGCCAGAGGTTCCTGAGTTACTCCTGGATGTGACACAGCGTGCACTCGGCCCCTGTCAGTCCTGAGCTTCGTATTTGGCTGCACCAACTGATGTCACTGCTCACACGTGTCTGGTGTGTAGGATCATTGCTATCAGGGTTGGAACAAAGACATAAGCCTCAGCCATTCTCACTCGCTGCCCAAAAGATAAATCGGACGTTATTCCTTGTCCCTAGACCTCAATTCAGTCTTGCACACTACTGTCTTTATACCCTACCCCTGCATTCTTCCCCTGGTTTGGAAGCCCGGTGGCCACTTTAAAGACCAGTTCCGAGGAATTCGCCTCCACCTGCTGCCCCCAGCCCTGCTAAGATATAAAAAGCCTGGCCTGCTGGGGTGGCCTCCTGCTGTGTGCTCCCTCGGTGTGCATGCTGGCGGTTGCTCACCCACCTCTGCAGATTTACTTTCTCTGAATAAATTCGGCCTGGCTGCAAGTTCGTAGCCTACCTCCTCTGTTCTGCATCTGTTTTCCTTACATTTTGGTGCCCTGGGTGAGGAGGCACCAATCTGCACTCTTCTTTTTTTTTTTTTTTAAGTTTTACTTATTTAAAAGTCAGAGTTACACAGAGAGAAGGAGAGGCAGAGAGAGAGAGAGAGGTCTTCCATCCATTGGATCACACCCCAGTTGGGGACTTGGGTCATCTTCTACTGCTTTCCCAGGCCATAGCAGAGAGCTGGATAAGAAGTGGAGCAGCCGGGACTTGATCCGGCGCCCATATGGGATGCTGGCACTGCAGGCGGCGGCTTCAACCGCTATGCCACGGCACTGGCCTCTGTGCACTCTTCCTTACAATGAGCACAGTGCTCAGCAGGTCCCATGTAAATACTGGGATGGGGAATGGCAGGTCTGTGTCTCCCCACAGTTCCATCTGTGCGAACGAGCCTGAAGGCCCCCGCCCTTCCATTTCACAGAGCCGTGAATGACGCAGGGCCCAGTGCCCAGGTCTGCAGGGTCCCCAGGGGAGGAGGCTGTAGCCTAACATCCACCTTGCTAACAGCACCACCAGCAGCTCGGCAGACTTCTAGGGATCCACAGAAGCAGCCCTTTGCATGCTCCATCTTGCTTAGGGACTCGGCCTTCTCCCTCTCTTGGGGGGTAAAACACGACTGAAAACACAAGTGCCCTCAAGGCCTGTCACATGGTGTGATCAGCTGTGTCCCCCTAAAGGTCACACCTTGAGGCCTTAGCCCCCAACATGACTACTCCAGGGTGCTTGATAAAGTTCA